ATCCACTCTCACTTTAAACTGGACTCTCCACTGCCAATCCCCCTATTTTCCCAAGGGAATTCTTAACTATATCTGTTGACTAAAATCTAATTTGATTTGGCTCACTAATCATGCTAATATAGCAACCATGAACTGCAAGTCAGAATTCACTAGATTCACACATTATGTTATGCCAAAAGCAAATCATGGGTTAGCATGTTACCCATCTAGACCTTACAGACATCTGCTGGTCTGGGAGACTTGCGTGTGCTTGTTGGAGTATGAAACTCGAGAGAAAGGTTTTCCCTCATTCTGACAATAAACCACAAGAGATTATTTTCTTCTTCTCAGTTAAAAAAAGCTTTCTTGGAAAACCTGTGATTAGCAAATATAGCAGTTTTACTTCTACAAAATGCCCCAAAAGAAATGGTACTTCATCAAGGTAACACCTAGTAGCTTACTTTTTTTGAAGTACCAGCTTTCACTGACAATAGGTACACCATGGATGCATCTATTTTAATGTTAAACATGCATTTGTGAGCTGCTCTGGAGGACATGTCAATCCACGAAGTGCATTAATCTCTTCCTTCTTTCCTGAAGGAACCAAAGATTCTCCTTCCGTTTCCAACCACTGAATTCTTCCAAGAACTCTGTGGACATGTTGGGCTGAGAGTCAAAGACTAGCCCAAAGTCATGTAATGTGATTTTATGGAAATCTGAACTGGGATTTTATTCCAATGCTACAGTAACTACCAGATAGACAGAATTCATCTAGCCTGTCTTCAGCCCCAAAGAGGTTCCAGAGGAGTAGACAATGTATTAATATGGCAGTTAAAATAATTAAGCTTAAATGGGAAGAAAAACTTCAACACCTTCCCCACCAAAGACAGCCAGACAATGGGAGCTAAAATGAGCAGTCACAAAAGTGCCTGTTTGTTGCCTGAGAGAGGCTCTATGGGTTGGAGGGAGCATGTTCTCCATGGAGGATCCAGTTATGACTGCAGAAACTTTTGCTGCTTTATCTGTGTTACCTGCAGGATTTGTACCATTGTAGACCCTAAAGGGAAAGCCCCAAAAAGGAACTGGTTTCCCTTGAAGCCATTTCAACTAAAGTCCATCTTTCCTCAGGACAAAATCCACCCCTTTTATACTAACGTTAAACTACTGCATTAATTATTTCTGCTGCTGAAACCAAAGAAGGCAGAAACAGAAAGAGTACCCATAGATTAAAAAACAAACACGAACTCACTCCCACCAACTTCTAAGTACAAACTAGGCCTGCTTTTAAAGCAGCATATAATTTGTTGCTTTGAAACTACCACCTCCAGACCTTCTCACATACTGAAGAACTGTAACTTTAAAACAACATAAATAGAGATTAAAATAATAAAGTTAAAATGGTTGCCATCATGATGTCTACATGCCTGGACAATACAAAGTTTTGACTACTGAGTCTGCTTAGGATATTCCCTTCCCACAGAAGCCCAAGCAACATAACAAAAACAATTGAAAAAAAACCCCACAGATATCTTTATTATAACTGTCCGTAAATAACAAATTAAATCTTTCCATTGTAGGCTTAAGTGAACAAACACAGTCAACACTCATATTCATGTAGAATCTTCTTAGCAGAAATTTCTGCAATATTAGCATCACCACTGAAATGATGCTGTTATGAATCTCTGTCATAGTATAATAAAATTTCACACTTTTTTTCAGTACCAACATTCTACAGATGTATCCTTTTTAATTTCTTAGACAAACAGTTCCTTCAAATCCCTTAGTCACAGGTCTACAAATATTAGATATTAATATTGGGGGCCCACCAAAAATGTGTGAAATCAGAGTCTTGCTACTGCAAGGACCGGGATCTCCTATCCAATCTCATTCTAAATTTTGACATTTCAGTGAGAGACTATAAAGGAGCCCCTGCTCCCTTCTCTGCTGCAAGCTTGGAGCTGGAGAAAGGAGCACAGTTTCTAGAACTGTGTGGAGTGCTATAGCACGAGCAAAACCTCTAGCCTCCTCTCCAGTTCGGTAGCAATTATCTCCATCGATGTGCTAATTCAGTACAAGGCAACCTGATGCTGTCCCAATATTTTGGTCTGTCATACTCACAACTCTTGGCACTGAATAGGCTCGGACTGATAAGAAATGAAATCCAAAACCTCTAGTAGGCACTAAGTTTCCTGTCCTTGCCTTGGTGTTACTGTGGGGCCAAAGAACAGGATCAAAACCACAAAAATCAGCTGTCCTTGCTGAAAGTGGATATGAAACAACGTTTTGTTGTTTGGCAGGTATACTCTCAGAAGAGTTTCTATCCTTTCTACGACAATCGCAGTGATGGTGTAGCAAAACCAGCACAGCCTTCCTCTGACACCTGGAGTTGGGGAGAAGCGGGGATCATTCCTGCAATTGCTCTAGATTTCTAAAATGCTCCACATCTAGATCCTAAGTTTGGGAGCAAGTTGGGGGCTCATAATGTTTGGCAGAAAGAAACACAATATTATTCACCATGATGTAATGCACACAGCCATTCACACCAGCTGTTCAGATCTGATTCTCTTAGGACACTGCTCAGCTCTACATGTTGTTACAATTAAGCTGAATTTCTACCAATCGTATTTGACTACAGAATGAGTGGCAAAGCATTCTGTCATTGTACCTTTCCATAAAAAAGAGGACTCCTCTATGTTGCTAACCTTTAGTCAGCATTCAGACCCTCCTTATTATCTATAGATTACTTCAATGGTGGTCAAGAATAAAGTGCTAGTGAAGAAGACTGCTGTGTATCATGGGTTGTTTCTCCAAGATAATGGGGTTTAAATATCCCAGGATGCCTTTGGGAAGGGCACAATAGGATGAAAGAGAAGAGGCAAAGGTAACAGGATTTCACTGACTTCCAAGGACCTATGCTAAAAGGAACTACTGTAGTCTACATTACCCGAATCCTTAGCTAGGACATGGGATAATAACTAAGATTGCCCTTGAGCATATTTAAAGACTCTTCCTCTTTCTGTACATAACCACAAAGTTCTCAAACAGACTGAATCAGAGGAGAAGTTTTTATAAGAGCAAGTGACTTCCAGGCAAGCTTAAATCCTGAGATCCTAAACACCAGAAAGCAGCAGAGAGTGGGGTTTGGAGTAGGTTATGACCTAGTGAAATGCTGGCTGGGGGATTCTGGAAGTTGAAGTCCACCCTTCTTAAAATTGCTAAGGTTGAGAAACACTGGGCTGGGCTACAATATTTGTCCCTGACAGGTCGGTTTCTTTATCCAAGCAAGGAATTCTTTTCTACAGAAAGTATTCATTTCTTTAGATCCTGATCTGCTGTATGGTAAGGTATACTTCAGCAGGAAACAGGCCTTAACTTAGTTTCTGATAATTTTGTAGGGCTCACGTAAATATTAGGATATTCCTCTAATTTTCTACTATGGTTTATGGGCTTTGGTTTGGATTTACCCTTCATGTGAAGCCACCTTTTGTTTATCATGATGTGCTATGCAACCATACCTTGCTAGGTTTCTATATTACCCATGTTTCACAAGCCATAATAGCTGGCTTCACACAACATGCTAAGCCAAAAATAAACCAATCACACTCAAAGCTTGTGAATCTAGCTTTTGTGGCTGTTTCATAATACTGCTCTTCTGCTTCTGTCCTCCCAAGCCAAGGTAGATTAAGAAAACAACACAAAAGCAAAACCCAAGCCAAAATGTCAACTGTATAAAATTATGAGAGAAAAGAAAAGCTTAAATCCATCAGCTTATCTGCGCACTCCACCCAAACAGTCTTGACTCCAGGAATGCCACGTTTCAGCACTCAAAAGCCAGGAAGAGCCATTCATTTGTGCAGGTGCCCTGCCTACTTCTAAGGAACACGGATGGAAAGACTGCTAATATTGGCAACTTCCAGGACCATCCCACCGATGAGGTTGCCAACTGAGGTTGCCACAAAAGATCAGACTCATATCTGTCCTGTTAAAAGCACAGAAACTGATGAAAAAGAAAAGTGTTTAACCCATCCTTGTGGCTCTTTTAAGGGTCTTTTACTAGTTCTGGAGGAAATTCCACACTGGCTTTACTCTTGCAGCAGTGCTGAGCAGATGTCAAAGATTCGTTGAGAGCAAGGAATAGATTTCAGTTCCTGGATCCCCTATATTTTCTTCACAGTTGGGACAGTACCAGATTCCCTCAGACTAAGACATATCCAACTTCATGAAAGAGGCTACTGCAGCCTTCCCCAACCTGGTGCTCTTCAATGGATTAAGATTAGAATATACAGTAAATTTACCAATTGACTGTGCAGGTTGTGGATAATAAGCATTGTAGTCAAACACTTCCTGAAAGTGCCAGGCTGGGGACTGAACAGCTGCTTTTTTAGGTACCTATAGCTGTTTTGGAATAGCCACTAGCCTCCAGTTAAGGTATGGCCCCCTCATTTCCCCCCCCCCCTCTTTTTTTACTGGGAAAGTTACAGAATAGCATCTTGACACAGTCATGCAGGACACTGAATTGTAAAATAGAGCACAAATTCAAAACTCTGCTGATATTGATTCGGTAGAGGTTTAAAGACATAAACCCCTGATCATTAACAGGGGGAGTAATCCCATGCCATTAATTTAATTACCCTCCTTTTCAAAGAGGGACTCTAACTGATGTTTGCGACTGATGGAGAAGGCAATGGAAGGACGGCTATTCCCCAGTCCCCAGATTCGTGACTCTGGACTGAACGAGAGCCAACCAGATTGCCTTCCTGCGTCAGCCCCCAGAAAATCGCATTCGCCTTCCCCCTCCGGCGAACCCGGGCGCGCCCAATCAACACACCCCGAAGTCTCAGAGGAAGGAGTTCGCACGCGGGCAGTGCGGAGTTGCAGCCTCGCTTGGCGAACCGGGGAAGCGGAGGCAACCCCCAGCGCTGAGCAATGCCAGCTGCCCCGGATACCAGCCCGGCACTGCAACTGGCCGTTGGGCTACCTTCCAGAGTAGCAGAAGAAGCTAAGATCGACGATCGACCTACCTCGCTTGGCTGCGGTGCGCACGGACCCGAGCTTGGCTTTTCCCGCAGGCTGGAAGCTGCTGTGCTTTTCGGGCCGGAGCTCCAGGGAGCAGCAGCAGCAGCAACTGCTGGTGTGCACGGGAGAGCAAAGCCACCCACGAAAAAGGAAGGAGTGCCCGAGCCGTCTTTCCGCAGCCGACCTCAGCGATCGACTTTCCACATCATCCAACCACTCCCACCTGGAGCGGGTCCGGAGCGCCCGCCTGCCTGCCTGCCAGCTCTCCTCTCTCCTCACCTCAGCCCGCCCCCCCGGCCGGTGCGGGGATTGGATGACGATCCTCTGCCCTAAAAGCGGAACCAGGATGCCGGGAGCTGTGGGGAGGGCTTCTTCGAATCCTTACGGGTCTTGACCTCCCTGCTGTCGCTATGGGAGGGTCTCATTTTCCTCGTGGCGGGACCTCACTGGCAGTACAGTAACATGATTTTAGACCGCAGCCTCTCTAGCCACTTCCTTGCGTGGGAGGAAGTTTTATGGCACTCGGTGTCCTCGTTCGCACATGGCGTTAAATAGTATTTGTTTTAGGTTCACTTGATAAAGGAAGCCAAGCCTGAAACTTCAGTAAAGAGTAATTGCAGCAGGAGCAGAGTGATGTTTAATGGCAAACGCGTTCAGGTTTCTTCAACCACAATTGGTTGAGCTCCAGTTCACGTGTACATGAAAGCTCCTCGTTGCACACAATCACGCAATCTGTTAAAGATTCAGCAACGTCACAGTCTGACTTTACGGAAGGGAGGGGCTAGTCACGCCTTTGTTTCTATACGCTGGGAGTCCGGCCGCATATAAGTTTAACGAGGAAGAAAAAGAAGCTGAAGAAATAGTGGACCACCTAGTTAGCTGCTGCGAGATCTAACAGGCTGTAGCAACAATGGTGCATTGGAATATCTGCAAAAAATACTATTTGCCTGCAAGCAAGAACTGGTGGGACCACAAAACAGACAAAGTAGCCGAAAATGAAGAAGCTAAAGTGCTCTGGGACTTTCAAATTCAAACAGACAAGCATCTGTCACATAACACCCCAGAGTTAACAATTGTTGATAAGAAGGACAAAAGTCTGGATAGTGGACATTGCAATACTTGGAGACAGCAGAGTAGAAGAGGAAGAACTGGAGAAAATTATAAGATAGAAAAACCTGCAAATAGAAATAGAACAACTGTGGCAAAAGAACGCAAAGATAGTACCAATAGTAATAGGTGCCTTGGGTGCAATCCCAAAACATCTGGAGCACCACTTGAACACCATCAGCATTGACAAAATCACCATCAGTCAATTGCAAAAGGCAGTTTTACTTGGAACAGCTTACATCCTGGGATGTATGAACACCATCGAACAACAACATCTGCCTATCCCAGGTCCTTGGGAAGGACTTGATAGGTGGATAAAAATGCCAAATCCAGTCTAAACATCTGGCTGACTGTGTGACCAACCATAATAATTTATTTATTTACAGCCTAGCTGGCTTTAAACTGTGGGGTGAGGGGCAGGAGAGAGAAAGAGAAAAG